ATCCTTAACTGCGTATTCTAATTGCGCGTATCACGCTACAGTGGTTAAAGCATCCATTATCTGCGATTGAGTCGAAACAATGGTCTGTTATGGTTATGTATGTATGTATATATGTCTCTTTTCCGTAGTAAACCGATAGTTTTATTTTTTATACGCCCGCCCACCATTGACGTCAATCGACCGGTTCACATGCGGGCTGTGTGCGCTCGCGCAGGGCCGGCAGGACGCTATCTTTGATCCGTATGAATTTAAATTCGCACACGAATTTAAACCCAATACGTATGCTAATAAATTGGGTTTCTGTCACCATTTTCCAGTAAGTTCCAGACACTTTAAAGCACTGATTTCGAAGAACATTAGACTTTTAGTAGCTCTAGATTTTATTACAATCTATTCAATATATAAGTAGCTAGTTGAAAACGCAAACTAGTGAACTTATACACTCATTTTAGCCAAAAAAACTGAAGTTCAGGGTGGTGTAAAGTTGGATTTTCAGTAGCTTTGACACCAGTAGTTAAGTTCGCAAACTAATGACATTATGAGTTTTAATAAATAAAATCTATGGTAGAGTCGCTTTTTTACTGCTCATAAAGAGTGTTTCAATTGACTATGGTAGTAATATAATATCGATGAAATAAATGTAATAAGTAGCAAGAAAAAACCTATCGGCGAACCCTGGAGGATGTGGAATATAGGTAACATCATCTATGTACATACACAAAAGAAAAATATCGAAATAACTAACCCTGCCTTATGATTAACGATACAAATCTTTGTATGTTTTCCATAAGTTCCCCTTTAAGAATCATCGTAATTTATCACACCTTTTCAGTAGCGAAGGCTGTTCAAAATTACCGGTTGCTTTTGTAACATTAATTTTATTTACGGTTGGCCGATCCGACAGATTGATTTATTTTTTCCGATTGAATCTGACCTTTGTTTCTTTGTGATTGCTTATATCGAATCAGAATCGATTTGGAATGAATTTTACACAGTTCGGAGTCTATTTTCGTGATAGTTATTTTATTAACCGACTTAAAAACGGAGGATGTTTCTCATTTAGTTATATTTTTCTGTATGTCCCCCGATTTTCGAAGTCATCTGGAACGATTTGGAAAATTATTTCTGTAGTAACTGACTATGAGGTCTAGGAATAGGTAGAAACGACAATTTCGTTAAAAATACTGTATATGATTGTTATTGCCAGTTAGACTGGAGTTTAATTTGATAATAACTAATCACTATCATTGTTACTTTTATTGGTTAAAAAAGTTATTCCATTTGGAATAGAATATTAATATTTGTGACCATCACTGGCTAGGGCTTGCAATATCGGATGGTTTTCAATTCCGGAACTGATTTCCGATATTGGGCACTCAACTCCGGAATTCCGGTTCTAGTTCCGGAGTTGGTTAAAAAAAGAAAGCGCCTCCCGACAAACACGTACACGTATGTAGCCTCCACTTCAGAACCTTGCCCCATCGGCCGTCTGTTCTACGTACTATGTGCCCTGCCCATTGCCACTTTAGCTTGCTAATCCGATCGCTATATGTCAGCCGACTTTAGTTCGTTTACGAATCTCCTCATTTATGGTTCGATCTCGAAAAGAAACACCGAGCATAGCACTCTCCATACTATGGTGTGCAACTTTGATTATTATAAGGCCTATAGTAAGAGGCCACGTTTCCAAACCGTATGTCATCACTACTGGTAACACACACTGATTGTAGACTTTCGTCTTAAGGCACTGAGGTGTTTTGGTCGAAAAGATGTTATGTAGTTTCCCGAACGCTGCCAAGCCGAGTTGAATTCGACGTATTATTACATCTCCCTGCCTCACAGCTCGCTGCAGAGGAATCGCCCTCGTGCTCAGCCAGCCTCAAAGACTTTCTCATTGTTCTCATAGTCTAAGAACGTCAAGCATATAGGCAAGTTAGACTCTTCGGTCTTCTGTATAACCTACCGTAGCGTATAGATGCGGTATATGGTAGTGTAAACTTTTCGATAACTGGCTTCCTCGAGAGACTATAAGTCATCGAACATACGCGCGTGACTATTAGTGATGGATCTCAAAAACAGCTTATAGACATGACTCAGAGTCAGAACCCAGATGGGTCTGTAATTCCTTAATAATGCTTTTACCTCTTTCTTAAATAAAAACACCACCAAGTCTTTGTTCCGTGCCTCTGGCATTATTCCCTGGAGTAAGACGGAGTTACAGTCTCTGAAGGACTTTCAGTATCGGCTTATCACCAGCCGCGTTCAGAAGCTCCGAGGTTATTCCGTCATCACCCGGTGCCTTGTTGTTCTTTAGCTGTTTGAGAGCCATCCTTATCTCGTAAAGGCTGATGTCCGGGTCGGGATATCTTCGATATAGTGTCGAGTTAGCTTAGCTCTTGGAACTATCTTGTGGCTGAGCTATTAACAGGTTTGGTGACCGAGGTATAATATAGCTGTCCATAACATTTTTTCGATCCCACCTAGAACCCTCAGCTTTTGTTGAATTTACACTATCATCCGCTGTCTTCAGCTAGCTTCGCCCATTAGAGTTGTCTCTAGTGAACATTTTGGAGCTTTGGTTCCGCTCTATTGCCTCTTTAATATTATTATTAGTACTAAAGTTGCGAATACATATCTCAAGGACTTCCTTCTAAGGACATATTTCGATACTTAAACGTTTTGAAAACTTAAAACAATTTATGAAAAATTTCAATATCGGAATACGATATTGGCTTCAGTTCCGGAATTGAAATATCGGAAAAAATCTATCCGAAATTCCGGAGTTACGAAATTCCGGAATTCCGGTATTCAAGCCCTATCACTGGCAACCCTAGCCGTCGAGTGTCAAATCACCAAACACGGACTGCGGCAGTTAAACTCTTGCATTTGTGTGCGCGCAATCTTGCGCCCGCGCCGGTAACCATGCAAATATGCACCGAACGCTTGCTATGCACCGCCTGGACGGACTTATCAGTTAGGACAAATATTTAAGTTTCTAGTAGGCAGTTGAAATAATTGCGTTTGGAAATTGCTCTTTTGCACCCAGTTTGCATTTACTTAAACATTAAATTAAGTATTTAGACTAGTAAGTGATAAATTAGGTTTAACATGTGAAAATGATAAAGCGCTTAACACGTTAACATTTGACTGAATCATTCAGGCAAAGGCTGAAGTCCATTTTCATCCAGCCTGAATGAAAAAGGCGGCAGAAAGGCGCTCCTTGTGGAAGCTTACGACCAGGGGAGTGCTTTATGTTAAAACTATGATCATGAAATAAAAATAAATAAATAAATAAATCTTTGGACAATTTCACACAGCGCCAGCTAGCCCCAAAGTAAGCAACTTAATGCTTGTGTTATGGGTGCTAGCTTAACGGATATACACTACTTATATACTTTTTTTTTTAAATACATAAATATTATACATAGTCACACCCAGACCCGTCACAGAAATTAAAATTCATCATTTCAATTTCTGCCCGGCCGGGAATCGAACCCGGGACCTCTCGGCATAGTAGTCCGTTCTGAACCACTACACCAAACGGCCGACAAAAACTGATGTCCTGGTGACTGTACATACATACAATAGGCTGAGTTGCACCATCTTACTTTAATTTTGACAAACGTCAAAAATCTGTCAAACTCCAAACAAAAAGCACCGCTTATCGTCATAGTTGACGTTAAAGTTAGGTGGTGCAACCCAGCCTAAGTTCTCGTCGTATCTAATGTAATTGTACAGCTGCGTGCGAAAACTGCAAAATTCTCATAGTAGAAGGCCGACTTAAATCACGAATTTGAATTTAGAACGGAATTTTTTACATTTTTTTTTATCAAAGGTTCTGGAAAGTTCTGGCAACTGATAGCTATATTTAGCCTTATCTAGCTTTAAACTTTGAACAGATCCTGTTATTCGTAAAGCAAATCGGGTTACATGAGTAGATAGTTTAATATGTTTCCCTTATTTTAAAATTACTCTTTGTTACACTATACAAACCTTTGTCGTAAAACACATTGCAATGGAACTTGACTTACCACTTTGTTGAAAGTAGGTACTTTATATTATTCGTGTAGAGATAGTTAATAAACAACTAACATGCAAACTGCATGCAGTCGTAAAACGTAACAGCATGCCTAAAATAACTGTGACACAAATGCATTGACATGAAAGTCTAATTAAACTTCTGTGTCAACGGCCCTTTGGACTGGACGCCACATTTTACAATATGGTATCTATGTGGTTCTAATTGGTGCGATTTTGCAACTATTTTTATAGCCTGATGTAATGTCACTGTACTTATTTACTTATACATAAGTAAAACTCGTCCAACAACTAAATACTTCCTTATTTTTAATTTTAAATACGAAAACAGACAGAGTACTCCTTTTACTAAAGCTCTATCTCATAAGGATTAGGGAAAATTCTCTATCAAAATTGATAGAATGTCATAATTTTAATCAACATTCAGTCAATTTGGAATGTTTTATTTTTTATGAATAGGGTGTAGTGTTATTTTTTATTTGAAAAATGATACTAACATAACCTCTGACAGTATTTATTTTTATTTATGTAGTTATTTTACTAACTTTTTAGTTTGCGACGATGTTCTCAAACAGAATCGAAGACAAAGAAGATCGAATGCTCGAATTGCTGTTTTATGACGAATATTTTTAACTTAATTATTTTTTAATTTGAGTCAGTATACTGACGTTTAAAATAGACTATTAACTGCGTGGAAACTGCAGCAAGAAATAGAACTGGCTGCATGGAAACATCCAACGCCGGTAAACTTAAAAAAAAAGAAATATTACTGAATCGAATTTAAAATAATAGAGGACTGGCTGTATAGAAATATTTAACGCCGTTAAACTGAAAAAAGTTTAAATGTCATTTTACTGACTCGAATTTAAAATTGGAAATCTTTGTCTTCGGTTCCTAAAACAGGTCGCTCAGGACTTTCTACCCTGTTCCATTGACTTAAAGAGTAAAATTACTTGTTCCAGATGATAAGCACGGACTGAGGGCACCTTGACCTGAGCGACCTGGGAGGCAGGGCTGCTGGGCGGGTGTCGGGACCAGTGTAGGACGGGATATGCGCCTTGGCAATTTGAGGGAAAAAATTCCAGGGAAACTTTGGTAAAAAATAATGATAATAGTTTTTCATTTTAATTAGTAGAGGAAGTAAGAGTTCTCTAATTTGGCAGTATAAAAAAGTATTTATTTTTGTAATGCAATTTGCTGTAAAAATCCGAAAAGAAATTTCTTTGTGAAAGAGAACGTGTCAGTAAAAAAACTTTTGACTAGTTTTTGTTGTTCAGGAACAACGTACACTGTGGACAGTGTTGTTTTATTTTTGATTGTTTAAAAAGATTGCCAAGGCGCATTATCTTATTAAGGATATCCTTATTATATTTATGTTTAAGTAACCCATAATTTATGATGATTATGATGACCATTTCGCTGACAATCTTGGAAAAGCATCACTGAAAATTACTGCTGTGACTTTTCCTGAATAAGATTTCCTTAACTTTTCCTGAAAAAAATTTTTAGTTATTATACTTCAATTTAAAAAGGATTTCTGTTATATTGAGTACGGCATCTTTAAATTTAATTTATTTATTCCAAGGTTTACTTGGTAATTAATTAGTTTGTTGTTCATTATTATGTATTCTAAATCTTGCATAAAATTATGCATAAAATTAAAAAAAAATTATCTGTCAAAATAATTTATAGAATGTCGTATTAAAGTTTGCAGCTTTTCTTATGGTCATAAAAATATGAGATCTTTTGTAATAATGCATGTTAAAATTTTACTCAGTTCTAGATATATTATTATGACTCAGTTCTTATTATTATGTTAGTTTATTTATTTATTTAAGATATTTCTATTATTATAATTAATTTTAGAGTCCCATATTTCATATACATATATGTAATTTCATTAATCAGCATGTGATATTCAAAGACATTCTTATTGTTTTTGTTTAAACTATTAAATACTTAAGTGAGGTTGTTATTTATGTTAATTCATTATTAGATATAAATAAACACTCATTATTATTATTTTAATTCTTTGGAGAGTAATTTAAAATGTACATTTAACTAAAGGCAATGTAGATTCTACATGTACTCGATAGATTTTTACTAGAATTACTAATCCAAATAATATTATAATTCTCATAATTGTATTTAATAATAGCACAGTTAGGTCGCTAATTTTATTATGATTATTGTTTATCATACTTACGTTTACCGAATGAAGTATTATGCGTTAGTGTAGATATTTTTATTTAATTACTTATTTCCAAAGATAAAAAAATCAAGAATATTTGAAGAATACTAACATATCATTGCTTTTAGATATAAGTTCTATTAAAATTATGAGAGGATGATTATGATTATTTTGTAGCTGGTAAATTGATGAACTTATGTTTTTAAATTATATGACTGTTTCTGTTGATTATTTTCCTCATAATTTTAAAACTAATTATCATAGATGTAGGGTTAAAGTCTATAATAATGCTTGAAATCTTACGTGAATCTTATTACCTACTTATTATGATTATTAATTAATATTATTCATAACCAGTGAAAACATTCCATAATGCTATAAATTAATAAGCATAATCTGTGACGTCAGATTATCAATTATGAAATCCAATTATGATTGTACTTTTAATTAATTTACATACTTGTATGTATGCTGAATAAATTTTATCAATTGTTCGTGTTTCTTTTTTTGTGTAAATATAAAGTTAGTATGTAAATATGTACAGAATAAAATAATACAATAGGGATAATGAAAAGAACTTAAAAACAATATAGCCATAACTACAATAGTAATACTGTATTATTACCATATGACATGATTTTCTCGGGCTGTTTCATCTCAGAAGTGGTCCTGAAAGTGCAAATCATTGTTTTTGTATTGATACGTCTAAAAAGCTCTTAACGCTTAATCGCAAAGAATAATTAATTATACCTACCTAATTTACCGCCTTCCCTTTTTACCTATTCTAAACAAGTCTTCAAAGTTGTCTTGAAAATATCACTTTACAGCGATAAGACCGCCTAAATTGTGCTGTATCTTTTGTATATTTTCTCTCTTTCTTTTCTTGTCTTTTCTGTGTGTTCTATCTACTTTATCCATGTTAACCAATCGAACATGTTTTCGGTAAATAATCGAGATGCCCTTTACAACAAAATGCTTGTAACTATGACGTCTGAATCGACCTCGAACAACCGTCTCGCTTCAACGCTCACAGTGTGAAAGGGACGTGTATAGAAAAAGTAGATATTGTGTTCGATCGTAAGTAGGTCCCAGTTATTTATCACAAGTACGAAAGCTATTTTTAACTCTACAAAGGGGATTATGAATTATGAATTGGAGCTGACATAAGTATGGTTTATGTGTCTGTTAGTTACGTATACGTGAGCTTAAAGCCGTTGCTTTGTTGCATAACGATTTCATTACATTATTGTGTACTAAATCATATAAAAAATTCAATATCTATCTTCGTAGAGCTAATGGTGCCTACCAAACTTCCAAAGTTAAGGTGATCATGCGTCAAAGTTAGTTTGTCACAGAAAAACTTAGGCTGGAATGCTCCATCTTACTTTAACTTTAACAAACGTCACAAATCTATCAAACTCCATACAAAAAACACCGGTTATCGTTATATTTACTGTCAAAGTTAGGTGGTGCAACTCAGCCTTAATGGCTCGCTTCCACATCTCAAAAATCGGCATAAATACTATCCTGCGTCCTCTCCCGAGACTACAATATCTCTATACCAAGTTTCATCAAAATCGGTTCAGTAGTTTAGACGTGAAAGCGTCTGTCTGTCTATCAGACATACGCTTTCGTATTTATAAAATTAGTAGAGGTTAATATTAACGGAAAATACAGTTCTGTGCTCGGTTACATCATTGGGATGTAATTACAATACTGTTGACGTAAGTTTACGTTATGCAATACATAAAATTAATGCAGTCAGATAACTTCCTACACGTGGTATTGTCTACTTCAGAAAGTTTGTATGTTAACTGCTTTTTGAAGGATCATAGCAAAGTTATTACGAGTAAATAGTCATAACTGCTCTGTTAATCGTTAATTTTTTACTAAAGAAGTTGTATTGTTGTTAAGCTTTGAGTACCTACTTACCTAGCTTTTTGAAAAATAATGGAAGCTTTACTGTTTTTTGTGGCGAGGTGCTTTTTGCACGCTTAATTTTGACTTATAGAAAACGATTCAAAGATTACAGTAAGTAAAGGAATATTAACGGTATTGTGACCTTTGGACTTTTTGTATGAATAAGAATGAGTATCTGGACATTATATTTTTTATCTTGCCTATTAATAATAATCTTTTTTCTTTCGCAAAAAAGTGATTTAATTGTCTAAGAGACACTATAATATAGTTTAGTTGACATACAACGGTATGTCAATAATATGGGCTGCTAAACGCCTGAACAGTAAAGACCTGCAACGATTTACTCTCAGGCCATAAGAATATTAACATTGTGAAAGGCAATGTAGAGTTATTTTTCATTAATTTTTGTATAAATACTTACTTAGCCAATTGATCAGGTATTATTTATATTTAACTAGCTGACCCGGCGAACTTTGTTCCGCCTTAATGGCAATAAATAAGCAGACTTTTTTTTAATTTCGAACGGGATAAAAGTATCCTATGTCCTTCTCCTGGCTCTAAACTACCTCACTGACAATTTTCAGCTAAATCGGTTCAGCCGTTCTTGAGTTATAAGTGGTGTAACTAACACGACTTTCTTTTATATATACAGGGTGTTAGGTAAATGGGTATATGAGCCGGCACTAGCCCATGTTAACATGGTCATATAAATGGTATGGTGACATGGCCGTAGCTAGGGGGGGGCATTGTGGGGCAATGCCCTACCTTGAAACCTCAATGCCCTACCTTAAAAATATCTAAAACTAAGGTAAATTATTATAATTAAATTGTTTGTTCATAGTTTGAGAAAAAAAATGTAGCGATAGGTATCTAAGTTTGCAACAAAATTTATAATGTGATGGTAAGACTCTTGTATTGGTTCAAACTAAAGCCAATGAAACGGAACGCACCAATGACAAATGTCATGATGACATTTTGCTGAATAAAAACAAAACGTCAAAACAAAAACAACCTCAAATGGATATTGTTTATATTTTATTGAATTTCAGGTGTTTTATCAGTGAATGCAAAAAAAAGTGTTACATTCATACGTTAGCATCAGCCATTTTTTTCGTACTGTTTTTGATTGCAAGTCTTGATGAGTTGGATCTTGGATGTAGATAAAATGGTTCCACTGAAAAATTTGGGTAAGTTTAAAAAAAAAAAATAATTCAAAAAAATTGTCATGTTCAATTTACAATTTTAACTAATTTTTCAGGTCTGAAAATTCCATCAAGAGAAGAGGCTAGTGTGGTTAAAGCTTACTTGAGTCGTAACGAGGATATAATGGAAAATACATTGCAAGTTTTGTACAGGCAACGAGAGGCGTTCAAAGATACATATGAACTTTTTGCGTCTGTGGCGACCATAGGATGTAGCACTGCAGTGTGTGAATCTACGTTTTCAACTTTAACTGCAATCAATAGGCCTCAAAGGCTGTCAATGGGTCACGAGAGAATGGCTGGTATGGTATTTCTGGCCTTTGAAAAAAAAAGAACAAAATCAGTTGATCTGAACGAAGTTCTTCGCATTTTTAATAACATGGCGAATCGTAGAATTCAGCTGTTTTAAATGTTTTTTATTATTATGTTAGTTAATTATTATAATAAGTACGCAAAAACAATGTGATCTTAATGATATTTTTGGTCGTTTCTATTTACTCGTATCACCCCACCCAATAATTAATTATTACCTCACTCTCACTCAGACGTGGATCTCTACATCCAAATCTGGAAGTTCAACCATCTTATTCACTTGTTCTTCATCATTGAGGATTTAATAGTTCTTAGATCCATGCTCATGCACTGTCACAGTAATTATTTGTCTACGAATAACTATTCACATGATGGTGATATACATGGTGATTGATTTAGGAGCCCGTGTTTCGACGGCAGATCAATTATGATAATTTTTTTACTTCCGCCCTACCTGTAACTAATGCTGCCCTACCTCAAATTCGACCCTAGCTACGGCCCTGTATGGTGAAGTCAGAAAATTGATATTTTCATTTTAATTATTTTCATTTTCATACAAATCGGATTTCATAAAATTTATTTTGTATGAAAATTAAAAAAATTCAAATGATGATATCAAATTTCTGACTTCACCATATCATTTATATGACCATGTTAACATGGGCTAGTGTCGACTCATATACCCATTTACCTAACACCCTGTATAGATGTAGAGAAATTAGTATTATGAGATTGAATGTACAAAATCACAAATAAAATATTACAATTTGACATTTTTAACCACTTGTTTAGTTAGTGAGTCTCGTTCAGTGACATTAAAAAAAAATCTAGAGCTAATATTTATTTCTTATTAATTTAGTCTAAACCTGTCAGTTTAACAGTCTGATTTACAAAATATCCTTTTAACCAACATTTAAATTGAAGTAATCATAAACTGACCAAGCCTAATACATACTTGTCAATAATAAACAAAATTCATAAATGAACATAAATGAAATGACTATATCAAAGTCAACAAACTAAGAGTAGGCGCACACCGTTGATTTTTCGTCGGGCGATAGTTTAGTCGGGCAGTTGATCAGTATGGGCATGTATGGGAGTGCGCACACTACGCCGATTCGATTTGGCCGATTCTTCATACAATTTAAAATCGGGCACAACTATCGGCCAACTAAAAATCAACGGTGTGCGCCTACTCTAAGAGTTATGGGTTGTCCAAACATGGCGCCTAAACGCAACTCAATTTGTCAGAGATAGGTTGGGCTTAGATATAATAGTATACTATGTTTCAGTTTGGTCATTGGTGGTTATGAATTATGCATCGAAACTAGTGATAGAGACTCATATTTTATAACTGGGAAAGTAAGTCACTTTGTCTGTTTGATTGTTATGTTTTCGCGCCTTAAAATGTTTGACATAAAAATAAGGTTAAACCTGGATGAACTTACTTAATATGGTTACTTTTAGGGAAAAGGTTTTATGCGAAAACTAGCTGACCCGGCGAACTTTGTTCCGCCTTTTAATGGCAATAAATAAGGAGACTTTTTTTTTAATTTCGAACGGGATAAAAAGTATCCTATGTCCTTCTCCTGGCTCTAAACTACCTCCCTGACAATTTTCAGCTAAATCGGTTCAGCCGTTCTTGAGTTATAAGTGGAGTAACTAACACGACTTTCTTTAATACAGGGTGGAAACGATAAGTGATCTCACTCGATTATTTCTAAACTATACAAGATATCCAAAAACTGCTTACTGATCCTAAAAGTACTTCATGAGCTCTATCCAACGGTACCAATAATAGGTTACATAATAAATTGGATCTATCTGAAAATTCAATGTTTCCAGCCTCCATACATTTAATACTGCCACAATCATAGCACTCATGTCTTGATAATATTATAGCAAGTAAAGCCTAAAACCAATGTTTTCCGTGAATAATTTTAAATAAGAATGCTATTCACGAATTAATTTTAAGTGTTTATTATTTAAAATAAAAAAAATTAACACTTCTAATATTGTGTGGCTGGCATAGTGGCATACATTTAGTATGGAGGCTGAAAACATTGAATTTTCGGATAGATCCAGTTAATTCTGTAACCTATTACTGATATCGTTTGAAAGAGCTCGTAAAGCACTTTCAGAATCAGTAATCAGTTTTTCGATATCTTGTATAGAGTCGAAATAATCGAGTGAGATCACTTAACGTTTCCACCCTGTATATATAGATTATACAAGTTGTTAGTTTATGCCTGTAAAAATAATGCTTTTGATAGAAAATTAATAGTGTTTCAAAAAAGTTTAAAAAGCTTCGACCGCGTGTAATTCAGTTTGTCGCAAATAGTTATAATTATAGCCTTTATTTATTCTGATATTTATAAATAAAGTAATACTGTAGTTTCATCTAAATCTGTTCAGTAGTTTTCCATGTATAAAAAGTCTCAGTCGAAATCGAAAATAGACCGTTTTGACCAAAACCGCGGGTAGAAGTTAGTATGTTATATTTGTCAGCCTTTCCATAAAAGTTTGAAAATAATAAAAACGTAAAATCACAAGATTTAGTAAAGCCAATTGGTATGCGGTTCGCAGATTCATATTAGGAGATCCTTTGAGAATATTGATGATGTCATGTCCAGGAACGAATTTAGAATACAAATAAAGTTTTTAAAGAATCGATTTATTTGTTTAAAATTATTTATTTTTCGGGATTGATCAAACGAGTTACTTACCTAATCAAAAATGCCTAGAGGTAAATTGTTTCAGATGTCGTTGATTTAAATTGTAGGAAAATACTAAGGAAAGCTTTCTCTTAGTGGTTGTTTCTCTTTAGTCATTATTATTAATTCTTAACATTATATGTGTCACTACGAAATAAATTGTTTAAAATCAGGCATCACTTAAATATTTACAGCAGTTTGTAACATTTTTTTTTGTATTTGACACCAATTTTACTTGTCTCCATAAGCGTAGACGCAGCCAGTGTACATTATAATTATTGCGTATTATTGTAGAACTAGCTGTGCCCGCGACTTCGTACGCGTGACAACCCGTTTTCGCAACATTTTTCATTGTTGCTCTGCTCCTATTGATCGTAGCGTGATGTTGTATAGCCTATAGCCTTCCTCGATAAATAGGCTATCTAACACTGAAATATTTTTCAAATCGGACCAGTAGTTCCGGAGATTAAGTATTCAAGTAAACAAACAAACAAACTCTTCAGCTTTATAATATTAAGTATAGATTTATTGTTGCTTATAGAAGATAACAAAATCATAATACACAACAAAGAACTCCTCTTACGAAAAACATTTGCCTACATACCTACGTATATATTTTCAAACTAGCTGACCCGGCGAACTTCGTACCGCCTTAGCGTAGAGATTTTCTTAATATTTTTTTCCGTAAGAACCATCCTTGGACTTCCACAAACATTTAAAAAAAAGAATTATCGAAATCGGTTCAGCCGTTCACACGTGATGCCGTGACAACGCGAAACGGGTTTCATTTTTATATATATAGATATATCGGAGTATGCTCGCTCTCTCCAATGCGACTCCTGCACCGGTCCTGTGATATCCAAAACAAAGTCAGTAGCGGAGATATATGAGGTGTCAGTGTGTGATTTATTGGCGCGGTTCGGTTTGTGCCGTTTGCGACACGCACGGCGTCCGCGCACGCTCGAAAGCGTGGAGGTGGCTTTATTAAAACGTAGCAAAAAAGTACCTACTAAAAATGGACTGCTGAAGCATTTTTGTTATTTAATATAACTCTATTATACTAAGGCTGGGTTGTTCCATCTTACTTTAACTTTGACAAACGTCAAAAATCTGTCAAACTATATACAAAAAGCACCGGATAATGTTAATGTTACGGTTATAATACGGTGGTGCAACTCAGCCTAAGTGTTAAACTTTGGGTAAGAAAGAAAATAAAATAATGAATGGCAAAATTACATACTCAATCTTTCTTCTAAATACGTTAAAAACAGATAAAAAAGGGGAAGAAATAAAAAAATCCGGAAAGAATACATGCTTGTTATCTACGAGTAGCAACAAGAAAGAAGAAACGATGTTTTGGCATATAGAGGAGTGCAATAGTTAAACATTGAAATGCGCAGAACGTAAATACTCACACAAGACATAAAATTTCATGGATAAAATAAAGCCTAAAAAATCTCATTGACTGCTTGATTGCACTCTATCATGGGCCTGTAGGAACTTTACAATTTAAAAGGGGGTTATGTCTATCATAGGCTCAAAGAAACTCTACAATTTAAAATAGCTTTCAAGATTCAAAATTAGCTCTGAGATAGACAAAGCCTTTCAACCTTGAACTATTTTCATGATGTTTAAAACTCTGCTCTCCCTATAGTAATGCTGGTAATATTATTGTACAAATTCCTCTTCCATCCTTTCTTAGCCAGTCGTTGCTAGTGCATGCATGTAATTAATTTGATGGAGTCGAGTTTACCTCGTGCGCACGCGCAGCTAGCGAAGAAAGTTGCCGAACCGATACCGAGCGATCCACTTTGACACAATTCTGACGAGGCCATGTAAAAAGTAATATTGTAAGTTAACTGTAACTGGGTTTAATTAATGATTATTTTGGCAGTTGTCAGGAATACTGGTTGCCTTTGTGGTTATGATGTAAAATATTTTCGTAGCATTGGAAATCGCACAAAATGTATGAAATCCTACATGAATAGAGATTGTAACCCCACAATATATCTCACTTAATGTCTGTTGTGATTACGGTCGAATAAGTTCTAGATAAAAAGGCTGCTATAACGCGGTTAACTGTTATTTCGCGTTTAACTATCATTATAGCTCATGCCAGAATATCACCATAAGTAAGTGTAGATAGATCCGAGAATTCGGAAATAAGTGTAATTTGATTCGTATTGGAACAAGATGTTTGATGCTCGAACTTTTAATTACTCATTTCACATGCAAGTAACTGTTCACCATAATTTTACCAAAGATAATAAAAAATAGTTCATTTGAGCTTTTACAAGTGTAAGTGGAGATAACTCCATATGATAGCATTCATGCGTTCGTTCGTTCGTTTCAGCCAAATGACGTCCACTGCTGGACAAAGGCCTCCCCCAAGGTTTTCCACAATGCACGGTCCTGCGCTGCCCGCATCCAGGCTCTTCCTGCGACCTTTATCAGATCGTCGGTCCACCTAGTAGGAGGCGTGATATGATAGCATAATGTCACCAAAAGCTTTATAGGGCCAGCGTGAACTTGTCGGCTTATTTTTTGTGAAAGTTCAATAAGTAGGAAAAATATCTGAATAAGATACGGCCACTACCAAACATTCCACTTAATTTATTTTACAATTAAAAGGCTTTCTTTGCGGACCACCCGGGAGTTAATTAAAAAGAGAACGTTTTGATTATTTCTTCTCCTGAAATATATTATTGTACCGTCGATAACATATCAGAACATTTATTTTTTTTATTGCCAAAATTCACTTACTAAAGGTGACACAATTAAGT